TTTCTAACATTCCCTTTAGGTTTTTCTTTTTTTTTTTTTTCCATATATCTTTTAAGGGCATTTTGATACAATAAAAAAATATTCAATCATTAGGTCATCATTTTATCCGTACATTAATTTTATTAATATCAAAAAGGATTATCGAAATAAGGTGACAATCTTGATCTAAGTTCAAAATATAACTCACTTAAAAGATAAATTTGGGAAACACGCCACCTCAAAAAGAAAAGATGATTATAAGGAATTACCTCAAAGTAATTCCAAATAGAATCAACTCAAGTTAAAAAGGAGAAGTTATAGGCAAAAGCTGGGGCTGGAATCTGACCTGTTAACATTGGAAGAGCAAAAGGGAGAGTAATAATATTCAAGCTGCAATAGGATGAGAGATAAGAATTGCAAAGTTGAAGGCGTGTGTAGTTGTGTATAGGATATAACCTCTTTATTTGCAAGAAAAGGCAAAGAAAATCTGAGTATTGTCAGATAAATAGATTATAATAACAAGTATGAGTTTCTCAACAAATATTTAGTGACAGGATCAATGATAATTTGCATCCAAATACAAACCATGATAACAAAATAAGGAGTTTGATCCAAATTGTAGTAAAAAAAATCATGGGAAGAGTAGGGCAAAAAATTAAATCCTTTGTATTCAAATAACATGATAAAAATTTAAGGACATCCATAAAGTGCATATTTTAAGGACATCCATAAAGTTACAATGGTAAGAATGCAATAGAAATGGCTAAATAATACAGCTGAAAAGATGATAATTATACTTAAATAAAGCCAAGACCCCTGCCAACATAGATAACATAAATTGTAAAACATATTAATAATATTAAAGCACCATAGGAATCTTAAAAATATAACAGATGAGTAGAACATAGAGTTAGATGCAAATGTCTCTTCCTTGGCAGTTAAGTAAAAAAGAAAAAAATGGATCATAGAAACTAGCAACAAAGTATAGTTTTGCCAAAAAAATAGTCCATCTACCAACTGATTAGGCAACAGGACATAAAGACAAAGATCAATTATGAAAGTGATAAGATGACAATGAATACAAGAGTGAATTAAGATAAAAAGTGTACGATCAAGAACTAATATCATAAAAGGATTAAGAGTGTACCCAACCTTACCAACATTAGGGATAAAAATGATAATCATAAAGAAAACCACACTACTCTCTTCCAATAGATATTCATATTCCTCTAGAAATCATAGGAAACATTTAGTCTAAGTACCAAGGGTTTAGACGTGAATGTATGCCTTGATTCTCATGGTAATCCAAGTAGCATGAAATAGGAACCCAAACTAAGAAACATCATATTAATAAGTAAGAAGGAATAAATTTCTTGCAAGCTAAACAACTGGAGCCACTGGAAAAGCAAGAAGAGTAACCACTCTTGAAGATGTCATACATCCCCATATAAAAAGCACTAAAGAAGTTAACAGATATCACGCCAAAACAGACAATTAGAGAAACACAAGAAAATTTTGATGGTCACAAGAAAAGTAAGCCAAAGTGGAAAGACAAATATATGATATTGTCAAAACATAAATAAAAGAAGATAAAAACTAATCAGGTGGAGTTTTGACTCAAGATGATCAGAAGAATATTAGTAGATTAATTACATGTCAAAGGTTCTTAGATTGAAGTGAAACCAAAGAACTAATAATAATAGAATTAAATTTACTACATGACCCTATTTATGATAAAAGAATACAATTTTTAAACCCACAAGAAAAAAATAAATACATGAGGAACATTAAGCTAAAAAAATAAATAATAAAAAAGCGAAAAGATAAGAGATCTTCAAAGCTAAAAAACTAGCCCAAATCATCATTTCAATAGATAAGTCATAACCCAAAATAGTTAGCCTAGTTGCATTATAAAGAAATTAAATATGAAAAGATAACAATAATGTCATCCACAGGTCTACATAGTTAGAGACCAAAACATTAACATATGCTCTAAAAGTAAAATGTCATTATGCAATTGAGTAAGCAACATAATTCCTAAAAAGATGATTTAGGCGGTCGAATAGAGGAAGGATATAATAAATTAAAAAACATTCGTATAATCATAAGAAGCAACTACTATTGTGAAAATCAAAACCAGAGAGCCTACCAACAACATTAACAAACAAAATAGGAAGCTCTAATAGCAATATCACCTAAGGCTAAAACTCTCAAGAAAAAAAAGACAAAAAACTCTATAATGTAAAGGAGTTCCAAGCAACACAAAAATTAGAGTGTTAATATTGATGGCACACAAAAAAATCAAAGATCAAAATGATAATTATGAATGGGCAAGCTGCAAAAAATTTTTGATTGCCATCAAGTAATATAAGAGCAAAAAAAACTTCAGGTAATGAAAACCCAATGCAAATCTCTAAAAAAAATAATTAGAAGAAGGGCCATATGCCAAAAGGCATTTAGTAGATTTTGCTTAGAATAGTAGAAACGGTTGAGATCCATAGTACATAAGTTTTTGAAATAACATTTGAAAGGAGTTGACAATAAAAAAATTTGAGTTACTTAACTTCAAAATAACAAAGAAAGCAATGAGATATGTAAGGAATGCTTCTAATCACAAGGGCATCCATAGTTTTTAAGGCTCAATGAACAACCAACCAAGAATAAGTAAAATATCATAAGGCATAGATTTTATGTCAAATATGATAGTCTGATTAATTAAGGGAGTGATATAATGTGATTCATTACAAACCATATTAAAGGAAGACCATCTCTCCCTTTCCAAATAAGCATATTACAATATTATAAGTTTGGATATCCATGAAACCATTAATAGGAGGCATGTTCAAACATATAAAAAAGAGATTTTAACCATAGGAATCTTAAAGAAGTTTGTTTGTTTGAAACAAAAAGGAGTGAAATGGTTTGGAGAGAAGAATCTCCCAAAAACACTTGTCATTATTGACTTCATTACTAAAGAGAATGGAACTTGATTCCTTCTAATTCTTAGTATGCATAATTCACTCTTAACACAAAATCATTCTAATTATTATCTATTGGTTTAAGACAAACTCAGATTATTCCTTCAGACACTTAAAAAATAAATTTTAGTTCATCACATTTAGGTCATCAAGAAATAAAACTCATTATTAGGATCCAACTTACTCTTAGGCCACCCTTAGAATCCTTGAACTACATTTTTTAACTAAAGTTCTTCCAATCATTTTTTTCAACTAATAATGACATTTAGTAATTTTCTTATAAGAACTTTAACCAATTTAAAGCAAAATTAGATTCTCTAATTGATTTTATCAACTCCTAATAAATTAAAATTAATTAAAATGCCTAATAAAATATTTTTTAATAACTTTAAGATGATCTTCTTGAGTCACTAATAACTCCTTACACTATATTTAGATGTTATTAAAGCCTTTTCATTTAAATTTAAATAGTTAAACTATTTTTTGAATTAAATAAATCATTATATAAACCAGTAAATTTATAAAATTCATAATAAATCAAATAAAATTAAAATATCCACCTAGTTTAACCCATAGAATCCTAATGATAATTAATGTTTAAAAATTAAATTCAAATTATTTTAAAAAATAAATTATAGACTTTAAAATTTAAATAAATTGATTAATTCCATTTAAATTTATTTGTCTTATAAAAAAATTCAAATCTTTAGAGGATGTTGGAATGAATATTTGGTTTTCCCTATAAATTTTATTTAATTTGGAACTCATTTAAATTTGAAATATTTTTGTAAAATAAGTTAATTAAAAAAATTATAAAAAATTCAAATTAACTCAAATTTTAATTTTATATTTTTATAGTGGTCTCCTACATTAGAGAACTTTTTAATACTTTTCAAAGTTATTTTTTAGATTAACTTTTTATTTTATTTCCAAAAATAATAAAATAAGAAATTCCAAATAATCCAAAGTTTTCAAAAAATATTGCATAAAATACTCTTGAAATTGTCTCTAATCTAAGGAAATAATTTACAAATCATTTGAATAAAAAACAAATAAAATCCATAACTTAATCTATCTTTAAATAAAAGAACAAAATTAATTTAAAATTCACAAAAATCACCTCTGTGTGGTTGTACGTGTCTTGAAATATTATTTTGATCTATTTTTTATGATTTTTACATTAAATAATACCTAGGGTACTTTAAATGATGAGTTTGCCCTAGGATATACCTACACATTTATGAGCACTTTCTAAAACCTCTAAATCAAATTCAAACATTAAACTCTAAAAGCTAAAATAAAGAATTTTAAAACATTAACCACTTTAATTTAAATCATTCACTATAAACATAAACCCCAAACTTTTATCCAAACTCAAATCTTAAGAAATAATAGAGACTCAACACAATCTGACATGCACTAGATTTGTTTATTATAGCACAAATCCTCCTTTAAAGGTTAGGATTATTTGTCTTATTTGTTTAATTTAGTGTGTTATTATGATGAATTGTTACTTTTTGTATGGGATATGATATAAACTACTTTGGATATCATATATTTTATATATTGACTCTATATTGCAAAAAATGTAGTAAGCTTGGGTATCATATTAAGCTTAGGTTTTAATTTTTTTAAAAAATATCTTTGTAGTGTGATTTAAGTGATGAGTTTTGTAAAGACATGTAAATTTTTAAAAGAAGAACCTGAATAAAAAAAATGAATCAAATGAATGAAAAGAATTAGCTAGGGTTAGCTAAAATCAACTAGGGTTAGCTAATGTCGACTAGTTTTGGTTGGGGTTG